TCCAACCACACACAACTACCATCACCACCATCAGCACCACCACCATCACAAGACTTATGCAACAGAGAGACAGAGCCTTTCATCTCAATGACCACATCCGCTACAGGTCCCTTCGCAACCGAGTCATCCGCGAAATACGCACTGCAAAGAAGTCCCACTACCCAACCAAATTACAACACCTGAAGCAGACCAACACCAGTCAATGGTATGGTAAGCTTAAAGAACTCTGTGGACTAAACAATAAGACACACACCCTCCCCTTCCTCAGCCATCTCACTAATGTTGACGCAGCTGAGCAATCAAATAACCATTTCGCTACTATATGCCAGACGCTCCCCAGGCTTGACACAACCACTCTCCCTGCTTACCTACCAGCCCCCCTTCCCACTGACTTAGTAGAAGAATTTGAAGTAGCAAAACGCCTGGACAAACTAAAGTTAAAACGCTCTACCACCCCCATTGACTTACCAATGAAACTCTTCAAGGAGTTCTCCCCGGAGCTTGCTAAACCCCTATGCTCCATCGTCAATGCTTCTCTCAGTCAAACCAGATGCCCAGCTGACTGGAAGACCTCTTATGTATCACCAGTGCCCAAGTCAACCAGCCCACAATCCTTAAATCAGCTACGACCTATTGCAATCACCCTAATACCCAGCCTAATCTGTGAAAGTTTTGTGTTCGACTGGGCTTATGCTGATATTGCAGGAGTCGTAGACCCTCAGCAATTTGGCAATATGAAAACTTCCTCCACCACTCACTGTCTTGTCAGCTTTCTCGATTACATATACCGCCATCTCGAGAAACGAAAAACGTCTGTAGCTGTCGCCTTCATTGATTTCACTAAAGCATTCGACCTAGTCGACCACAATATAATCATCAACAAAGCTATTGACCTCGGGCTTCGGAGAAGTCTTATACCATGGCTTACAGACTTCCTCAGTGACCGACGCCAAGCTGTACGCTTCCGAGGGGCTGTCTCCACCTTTCAGTCACTCACCTGTGGCGTCCCCCAAGGCACCAAGATGGGACCACTCTGCTTCCTTATGCTCATCAATGACGCCCTAAGAGAAACCCCTGCTCGCTGGAAATATGTCGACGACTCCACCATTGGGATCAGCGTCAACAATTCTGCTCCCGAATATACAGCCCTTCAGGATTTATTGAACAGTCTCCAAAACTGGGCCACCAACAACCATGTCACCATCAACCATGCCAAGACCATGGTTATGCACATCAACCTCTCCTCCGACATTGTCCCACCTCCTTCCATTACTTTAGGTCAGAACACACTCCAGGTTGTAAATTCCACGAAGCTCCTCGGCGTCACCATAGACAACAAACTAAATTGGAAACCACACGTCAGTGAAGTTGTCAAATCCTCCAGTTTCCGTCTCCACCTCCTCCTCCGACTAAAGTCCCTCGGAGTTCCTGCACCCGAGCTCCTCAGTGTTTACACAACATTCATACTTTCCAAGCTCACCTATGCCTCCCCTACCTGGTCTTCCTCCCTAAATGCCACACAACGTAAACACCTAGAAAAAGTGCAAAAGAGGGCATGCAAGATTATTCTCTCCCCTTCCTACTCCACATATCAAGAAGCGCTGAGCACACTGACCCTTTCGACTCTCACTGACCACCACCACGACTTCATCTGCAAATTTGGTAAGAAGCTTCTACACCATCCTCGACACCGGCTCCTACTACCACCTGAGATCCCTAGCCCGAGAATTGCTGTTCGACACCACAACCGCATCCAGCCCATACGTGCACGAACTGATCACTATAAGAACAGCCCAGTCCCTACCATTGTAAAAATTATCAATAACTTGTAATAAACCAGTGTATTCACTCCCAGTAAATACTACTTCTTGCACTGTCACTATGTTGAAATGCACTGTAGTTTGAGCTTTTCCCCATCAAGTTATTATATATCTTATTTGTATCACTTATGTTACTTCTATATTATTTGTAATTCGAAACCCATTCCCCAAATATGTAACTGTATATTTTCTGCCTTCTGGCTGCCAAGCTCTTTCAATAAACCGTTAATTATTATTATCATTATTATTATTATTATTATTATTATTATTATTATTATTATTATTATTATTATTATTATTATTATTATTATTATACCACCACACACCCACACCACCCCTACCTCAACCACACACCCCTACCCCACCCCTACCCCAACAACACCGCCTAACGACCCACTCTGTAACTGACGGCTCTCACAAAACAGCGATCACTTGTGCCTTTAATGTTTATCGAGCGGAGGAGAGGCGGTTAGCGGGCCGTAATGTGCATTATTTGGTGCAGGTAACCATCCACCTGGGTAATGTTTACAGCGTGAGGGGCGGCACAGGGTCAAGGTATTCGGCTGCCCTTCTCACCATACTGTCTCTCTTACCTGGGGTTACCTTTCTTTATTCTCGTTATGTTTGTATGTATGTATGTATGTATGTATGTTTGTGTGTGTGTGTGTGTATGTATGTATGTTTGTGTGCGTGTATGTGTGTGTGTGTGTATGTGTGTATGTGTGTGTGTGTGTATATGTATGTATGTTTGTGCGCGTGTATGTGTGTGTGTGTGTATGTGTGTGTGTATGTGTGTGTGTGTATGTATGTATGTATGTATGTATATATGTATGTATGTATGTATGTGCGTGTATGTGTGTGTGTGTGTATGTGTGTGTGTGTGTATGTATGCATGTATGTATGTATGTAATAATAATAATAATAATAATTAACGGTTTATTGAAAGAGCTTGGCAGCCAGAAGGCTGAAAATTTACAGTTACATATTTGGGGAATGGGTTACGAATTACAAATAATATACAAGTGACATAAGTGACACAAATAAGACATATAATAACTTAGATGGGGATCAGCTCAAACTACAGTTCATTTCAACATAGTGACAGTGTGTGTGTGTGTGTGTATAAAACACCTTAAGACAGCCTTGTGCGTTACATCAGCACCGGAAACCTTCTCCCTCACCAAGTGTTCATTCGTCAGTCACTTAATTGCACCATTATTGACCTGCAACAAATGACGAGGGAAGAACGTGAACGTGTCTGGCAACATCACAATAGTTCAGGGAAGACCATTATTATCTGTCACGACGGTCAATAAATCCTTCCTTAATCCTCAAACGACCATGAGATCAATACGAGCGATTCATTGTATCATTGTTAATCCCTCACAAGACAGGCAAGGGGTGAGAGATTTCCCAAGGGAGGAAAGACAGCGATATAACACGTGTCATTAGGTCGACTACCTGGTGATGTAGCAGTGTCATCTCTGGCCTTAAGTGCCCCCTGAGAGCAGCCGCCGCCTCGCTGTTCAATGATACCATCGGACACTGGAAGGTCTGTCGTATATCACATGTAATTGATAGTAATGAGATGATTACCGGCCTGTTGCCTTGTTTATACCTCCTCGTTCCTCCCCTAGGCCCAGGTACCTGCAAAATTGCATCCACCTCCGGAGGGGAGGGTCGGCTGCTCGTTGTCGCCAGGCCAGACTGGTCGTGGCAACGGACAGTTACAACCCCCTTAACACGTCACCATTATGGACAAGACAACTACTAGACAGTCCCGTGCGCGGCACTATAGAGGACGACAATGTAACTTTCACTATTCATCTATCACTAAACCTTTAATGATCATCAAAATATTACCCCCTCACCTTATTCCACCTGAAGATTAACCACCCTAACGCTACCTGGCCGGGGGGGGGGGGGTGAGCCTTCCGGTGATCTTTTGCATTTCGCAAAAAAAATATATATAAAAAAGGCAACAAACAAGAGGAGATAATAACTCTCCCCCGGCCGCCACCAGTGTCCACAACAAACCTCCTCCTCGTCCCTTCTCTATGCAATATCCAATACAACTTTCCCAGGAAAATCCTCTGGACCATGAAATAACGTAATGGATATCCTATAGGCCTATTAGGTAAATTAGGCCTAGGAGCGTGGCTGCGGGGAGGGAGGGCGACCGCAACACGAGGGAGGCGGCGTGGAGAAGGGCGGAAGAGGTAGCCGGGAGGTCCGAGAAGCAACACCTTAACGCCCCACAAACTCCACCACCACCCTCCTGGCGTGGCCTCCGGGACCCACCACCACCCTCACCACCTCCAGGGCTTCACTACGCCAGGGTGGAGACGTGTGGGAAGGTCTAGGGGTGAGTGGGTCGGAAGCCTTCATGAGGATTCCTATTTTTTTTTTTTTTTGCGTTTTGTGTCCAACGTTAATGGGTTGATATCCTCAGGTCTCGGTGGGAAGGAGGTGTTGGAGGGAGACGGGTGAAGATTAGGAACACCACTTTCTTTCACTTGATGATTAAACCCCTAACGCTAAACTAATCTAACCTAACTTAATCTAATAGATCTTAACTTAATCTAACCCACCGTACCTTAATTTTACCCATCCTAACTTAATCTAACCTATCCTAACTTAATCAAACCTATCTTGACTTAATCTACCCTATCTTAACTTAATCTAACCCATTCTAACTTACTTTAACCCATCCTAACTTAATCTAAACTGTCTTAACTTAATCTAACTTATCTTAACTTAATCTAAACTAACCTAAACGCCTCCAGTTAGCGTTAAGGTGTCTAATCATAGGTGAAATAAACTGGGGCTAATCTTCAGGTAAACCGGAAGTTGCGTTGACGTTTCCTCGTTCTGTTGTTGAGTTTCGTGACTTGTGACTCTCAGCCCATGGTGGAAGGCAGACGAATGATCCACACATAAGAATTTGGGAAGAGAAATGCATTTATTCTTCAGGGAAACTAAATTATTCACTAATACTGTTACCAATATTAACGTTTTTGTTATGCTTCTCAATCATCTTTCTCTCTCTCTATCCATCTATCTATTTATATATCTTTCTATATGTGTATCCATGTATATCTCTCTCTCTCTCTCTTTCTCTTTCGTTTGTGCCATTTGTCTAAATCTCCCTCTCCTTAACCATCTCTCTTCTCCCTGCAGGTCAGAGGTCCAAAGGTTGAAGGCGACGAGAGCCTCTGAGGGTGAAGCCAGCGCCGCTCACGTCCAGGCTCAGGAGCAGAGAGAGTCTGTGACGGCGGCGTGGGCGGTGGATAACGTCCGTCGTCTTCAGGATTCTGTGGCTGAGCTGCAACAGTCACTCAACGTCACCCAGGCCTTCCATGACAAACAGGTGAGTCACCCAGGCCCTACACGACAAGCAGATACGTTTACTGTTTTTTTTCTGCTTATTTTAAGTTTTTCCAGGCTTGAGTGTTCCATTACTGCAATTAATGATTTTTTTTTTGCATAAAAATGAATAAATGAAATATTAAATTTCATGAAGAACACATTTAGACGTTCCTTGACACTAGGAACACAGAGGATTACGTTAATGACGGTTCTCAATGGTTTCCTGCAGGAGGTTGAGTCCCGCTTGCTGGTGCTGACGAAGGACGTGAGTGCCCTCAGAGGGACCCTGGCGGCCGTGACCTCCAAAGCGGAGGCTGCGGCAGCCACGTCAACGGCACTACAGGAGGAACTGACCAGGATGGCAGACGACCAACACCGCATGGCTGGCCAGGTCGGAGCCTTGAGCACTGAGGTACGTCACTGTTGGCTGTATAATATGTATTAACCTTCGTCATTTCCCATTAAGTGTTGTCCTTCACTGGTCTCCTGTTTCTGTAGACCTGCTCGTCTATTTATCGCTCGAGGCTGACTTCTGTAATTAAGGGCTACTGGAGTGACCTAAGCTAAAATTAGATGACCTGAAGCTCCCGTTATAGGGAGTGAGTGTTGCCTCCCACCACTCTCAAGATGGCGTCCCGGGCCCCACCATTGTTCTAAGTCAGCGCCTCGACATGGATTAAGGCAATATGTGTCACGGAGTCGCTGGGTATTCACGCTACATCCATTCTAGATTCACCGGTCGTCCACGGCACATTGTCCGTGTCACGATGTTCCAAGGGCAGGAGGTACCTTGGAGGTGTTTTGTGTGGAGGTGTGACGGCTTCATCAAGAGGCTGTTTTACGGGTGGACACAGTGTGTGTGGTCCAGAGCAGGAGGCACGTAACTCATCTGTGGCACCACCACCTCCCAGCAGTGCCTAGGTTGCATTATGTACTAAAGACTGGCTGTTACACTTTGTGCAGAACATCTTCAACTCTGGGCAGCTTCAACTACACTACTGATACAAATAAAACTGTCTGAAGTCCTGAGATAATATGTTGTTTTCTTCTCTCTTTTAATGCTACTCTCCGGTAGCTCGTGTCATTCTGAAAATGTTGGACTTCGCTTCCTCTAATTTCATATGGATACTTTTTATTTCGCTACACATGAGCTTCTTTTATGGTCTTTAATTTCGAGTAAATAATCCTTTATTTTTCATCCATATCGGTCTGATACATCTATTTTCTTATCAATTATTCCGTAAAACATTTCCATTTGTCACATTTACTAATCCCCTTAAAAAATCTTTTCTCTCACTCCTAAATCTGTGTAAGAATTTCTGTCTTCAGGGCCCCAGGTCCCTGTGAAACCATCAGTCATCACCCGCTATGGATACCTGTGAAAAACTTCCTCCATCGAATCATCCGTCTTTCACGCCCCGGATCCTTGTGAAAAACGTTTGGTAATTGATTCTGGCGACCCAGTTAGTGTGACCAATCAGGCTTGGCGGCCAGCATGATGGAGGTGACGGGCCTAAAATAGATTTTCCCCTACCCATTGGGATTTCCCCCCCGTCATGCTCTAATGGTCGCTGGTTATTATATCCTTATGCTGTTGTTTATATATATATATATATATATATATATATATATATATATATATATATATATATATATATATATATATATATATATATATATATATATATATTTATTTATTTATTTATTTATTTATTTATTTATTTATAATTAGACTCGTTTTTATTATACATTATTCAATTTTTTTTTTAATTCAAAGAACAATTTGTTTTATTTATGTCTTTAAGTGTTGAAGTTAAGTGCTGTTTTATTGTTACTAAATATATGACAATGTCTGAAATAAGTGAAACACACACACACACACACACACACACACACGCACATTGGCCGGTACACCCTGCCAGGTTGGCTAATCACACTTGAGGTAAAATTAATGCCTCACCTGCTTCAGTAGACGCCCGGGGCTCCTCCTCTCCCTCTCTCCCTCCCTCTCATCCCATCTCCTCTCACTCAAACTCTCATCCCTCCCTCTCATCTCGTCCCTTCCCTCTCACCTTCTCCCCTCTCTCTCACCTCCTACCCTCCCTATCACCCTTTCTTCTCACCTTCCTGCCCCCTCACGATTCACATAATGGACAAAAAAAAGGGACACTCCTGAAATTATACATCTTACCTTTCTGATGGTCTACCCTACCCTACCCCCCACCCCACCCCCTCTGTTCACGATGAGTTAGTGGGCAATCCTCATCCTCCCCCCTTCCTTTACCTGCCGCCCCCTTCCTCCTTCCTTCCACATATGAGTTAATGGGTTACCTCATCTTTCCCACTCCTACTCCTCCTCATCCTTCTTCCCTCGTTCCTCTCCTTCCCCCTTCACTTGTCCCTCTTCTATTTTCTCTTTCTCCTTCCACTCCCCTCTCCTTTATTCTTCCTTTCTCCCAACTCTCTTTCCCTCCCTCTCTTCTTCCCTTCTTCTCATCCCATTCTCCTCTCCTTCCACCCTCCCTCCCGTCCCCCTACTTTACCTCTTAATGTTCTCCCCCTCCCCTTCCTCCCCTTTCCTATCCTATCCCCTCCCCTCCCGTTAATAGGATTACAAAGAGAGATCGGGGATTACTGGGATACATGTCATACAGGGCATCACCTGGGCACCTCCACTAATCCCTGCCACACCGGGATTACTTCACTTGAAAAAGCGATGTAATAGATAAAGATTAGGACCTAAGAAACTAATAGATAGATAAGATATTGTTGAATAGATAAAGAGTGTTTGGTCAAGTCCTGGGTGTTGGTCAAGTCCTGGGTGTTGGTCAGTCTGGGTGTTGTCAAGTCCTGGGTGTTAATCAAGTCCTGGGTGTTGGTCAAGTCCTGGGTGTTATCAGGTCCTGGTGCTTGGTCAAGTCCTGGGTGTTTGGTCAAGTCCTGGGTGTTGGTCAAGTCCTGGGTGTTTGGTCAAGTCCTGGGTGTTGGTCAAGTCCTGGGTGCTTGGTCAAGTCTTGGGTGTTGGCCAAGTCCTGGGTGTTAGTCCTGGGTGTTGGTCAAGTCCTGGGTGAGTTCCTGGGTGCAGTCCTGGGTGTTGGTCAAGTCAGTGTTGGTCAAGTCCTGGGTGTTAGGTCAGTCAAGTCCTGGGTGTTGGTCAGAGTCCTGGGTGTTGGTCCAAAGTCCTGGGTGTTGGTCAAGTCCTGGGTGTTGGAGTCCTGGAAAGTCCTGGGTGTTGGTCAAGTCCTGTGTTGGTCCTGGGTGTTGGTCAAGTCCTGGGTGTTAAGTCCTGATGTTGGCCAAGTCCTGAGTGTTGGCCTCTGATTTGGTCAAGTCTGGGTGTTGGTCACCTGTGTTGGTCCCCTGTGTTGGTCAAGTCCTGATGTTGGTCAAGTCCTGGGTGTTGGTCCAAGTCCTGTGTTTGGTCAAGTCCTGGGTGTTGGTCAAGTCCTGGGTGTTGGTCAAGTCCTGGGCGTGGTCTTGGAGGGGGGGATATCCTTTTTTCCTCGCCGTCTGTAAGAATGTCAGGCGTCTTTGGGTTCCTATAGAGCGGGGCGGTGTGAGGGAAGAGGTTTATAGGCTGTAGGAAGGGCATAGGTCGCTTAAACTCCGTGGGGTGGGGGTAAAGAGGGGGTGAAGGAGAGAGAAAATAAGGGATGAAAGGGTAGGAGGAGAAAGGAGTTCGAGAGCGGGGTGGAGGGGCGTTTAAGCTCCTGGAGAAGGGGAGAGGAGGAGAGAGAGAGAGTGGGATGAGGGGAGGAGAGAGGGAGAGAGAGAGAGAGGCGAGGGGAGGGGAGGGGAAAGAGAGAGAATAAGAAAGGATAGAGAGACGAGGGGGAGGGGAGGGGTCACACTCTATACCTATTCAATGTGTTACACGGATACTAAGGCTCAGGCCCGCTGCTGTGTGTGTCACCTGGTCCTCAAAAGATCTTTATGGTTATCGATTTTTTTCTCCCTGATACGGTTGAAGAAAGAGGGAGAAAGAGGAGGAGGAAAAAGGAGAGACAAGGGGAGGGAGAGAAAAAAGAAAGAGAGAAAGAGAGGGGTACATAAAAACACAAAAAGGAGAAAGGGGCGAAAATAAGAGAATGAAAGAGAAAAAAGAGAAATAGGGAGAAAAAGAGAGAAAACGAGAGAAAAAATAAAGAGGGAGAGAAAAAAGAGAGATTAAAAAAAGTGACTTGGTCGTGGAAAGAAACAAACAAGAGAAGATCAAACTCCCTAAAGAATATAGACACTGTAGTTATCACGTCGCCATAAAGGTAAACATCGTCTCTTGTTGATGGAGTTGTGACGATGACTTACGATTCACTAACTTAACTTCTTTACTCCATCTCGTCTTCATCCTAATTCTCATAAACCGATAATTATTCTCTTCTTTCTCATTTATCTTACCTAATCTCTTTATCATCCTTATTTTTATTCACTCTTTTATTCACTCTCTTCACTCTGGTTCATTTCTTTATTACACTATCTCTCATTCACCTTGTTTTATCTCCTTAGTGTTTATTCATTATTATTTTTCATCGTGTTTCTCATTGTTGTCTCTCCTCTCCATCTCACCTTCCGTGCCTCTCACTTCCTGTCTCATCTCTCCTTTCTCACTCTACTAACCGATCTCTCCCCTCCTCCCTCTCCCCTCCTCCCTCTCCTCTTCCCCCTGGCCCACCCTAATCACTGCGTACTTCTACCCCACCATCCCCCTGCTATGAAGTCTCTTAATATTACAGATAAAACAGTCTTCAATCGTCTACCCCGCCCACCACCATCACCAGGGGCGTGTTGCAAGGGCCCCGCTTTACAACAGCTGGTTTGTAAGCCCCGGCAAGGGTACTTCCATTCCGGTACAGGTTGCCAATCTATATTCAAAGGATGAGTTAGTCGTTCGTAAGACAACAACAACAAAAAAGAAGTGACTGGTAAATGTTGCACATCGAGATCGCTGGTTCGCGCATGCCACATGACGCCGCGACTACCAGCTGACGCAAGCTTTACCTCCACTTCGTCTCGTTCTGTATATCATCGTTGGGTATTCTTCATGAGTCTCTGAGTGATGGATGTGAGTTTCGAACGGTGTATTGTGATTCAGATGGCCCGGAGTTTAATCCGAGGAGATGATGCTATGGGGAGCGTATATTAGCGATCACTGTTAGGGTTGACGCACATTAATTTAGGTAATTGTTTCCCCTTACCTTAATGAGGCGGCGCGGCGGACTCCGGCAGTGTCACCCAATCGTTCACTTTACCCTAATGGGGGTGACATCCCTGCACGAGTGCATCACATTGTTTTATTTGTCCTAATTGGCTGGTGACCCTAAGGGGAGGGGAGGGCAGTATACCACCCTATACTTTCTCTTCCCTTAATGGGGTGACCCTGGGGAAATATCACCCTTACCTCCCTGATCAAACTGT